TAGTTCGACACGTGACTTAGTTCGACACGTGACTTAGTTCGACACGTGACTTAGTCCGACACGTGACTTAGTTCGACACGTGACTTAGTTCGACACGTGACTTAGTTCGACACGTGACTTAGTCCGACACGTGACTTAGTTCGACACGTGACTTAGTTCGACACGTGACTTAGTTCGACACGTGACTTAGTTCGACACGTGACTTAGTTCGACACGTGACTTAGTTCGACACGTGACTTAGTTCGACACGTGACTTAGTTCGACACGTGACTTAGTTCGACACGTGACTTAGTTCGAGTATGTGTCTAAAGTTAAAATATTATTGACTGAACGACAATCTAACCAAATGAAATAATATTCAAATTACTAGTACTGTTATTCAGCTAATCGAGTACTAGTTGTTAGTTGTTAATATGATATTTTAACAGCAGTACCCTAACCAGACCCCTGATTCTAAACAAATCAAATTTCAGACACACACGCAATGTCAATGAACGACGAATGTAACATCCAGAACTACACCCAAATCAGACAGTCCATCCTATATGTAGACATAGGTCTATATTGGAGCGCTGCCAAACTCTATGCTCTCTGGGAAAAGAAATGGTTCATCATCACGACCAGCGGGCTCTGCTTCGCCATGTGTTTCTTTATCCTGATCCTGAACAGCCTAGTCCTCCGGCACTACATCAAGAAGTATAAGCAGCTGATCCCCCTACTTTACACATCCATGTCACTGTGTGACATCGGGAATGCTATCTCTGCTTTCCTGACAGGAGCGCTGCTTCTAATGATCATGTGCAACTACAGGTCCCACTCAGACCCCTACCCGACCATGACCTTCATGGTGAAGCTGACCTACATCCTCTTCTCCTTAACCTCCCGGGTGTCCATCTTCTTTAACACCATCCTCGTGGTCATCAGGACCATCAACGTGGTTTTCCCAACTTACACCATTAAGAGGGGTAGAGTGATAGTGGTGCTGGTGGTGGGCCAGGTCTTGTGGCTCAGTGTTGCCGCCATTGATATTGTAGGGCTCCAGCAGATTCTGCCATACTTTGCAAAAATGAAGTCGGAAACAAACGAGATCCCGTCGACACAGTATGACGTCCTTGTTGATTCACTAGTGGTCAACCCTCTTACAGGTTTCTTTTTCATATACTACATCTTTGACAAGATGTGCAACATCCACAATTTCAACATCATCGGCGTATATGTCCTGGTGAAAGGGGTGCCTTTTGTCCTCCCATCTGCCATCTCTATAGCCTGCATGGTCATCCAAACCTACTATCTGATCATCAGAAGCAGGGTAGGTCGACACAGCGCTGTTAGTCGTCGGATCACCATCACCGTCCTCTACCTCACCACTGTCTTCGTTGCCTGCAACATCCCGGACTTTGTGCTGAACCTGGTGTGTCTGGGAGTCATATCCATCTCCACGGACAACCTCCCCACTTACATGTGTGCCACCTTTGTCTCTAGCGTGATGCTGCCTTTTGTCAACTCCCTCTTCAACCCCTTCATCCTCCTCATCAGAGGCAGCACTCTCAAGAAGTCGGTGCAGAGTTACTTCTGTGGTCCAGACTCCTTCAGGTTCAATAGAGGCAAGGCTAGTGGACTTGGGGATTTTTCCAGAGAGAAGTTTGATTTGTGGAAGAGGAGATCGGATGGTAACAGAATGATTCGGAGGAACGATAATATGAGTTTGTCTCGCATGGACAAGTAGGGCCAACAACTTAATAACCACCTCGTGACCAAACGGCTTTCATACAAAAATAATCTTTGAGAAGAAACTGCTCTAATTTGTGTCATTTGTTTTGTATAGGCATGATTTTATTATGTTGAAGACCGCTAAATTATTTGTATTCGAATTCTTATTCAAAATTTATTTTTCCAGAGTATTTATGATTGTATTTATTCTTAAATCTTATTTTTCATTTTACAAACCTGACCAGAGTTGATATGCTTGTATATGTTTTTAATTGAAATGTCTTAAGAATTGCTGTACTTGATATTAATAACATTTGCTGCAACAAAAAGGTTCATATTTACTGTAATACAAAATTGAATCAATCCTGAATAATGGAACTCTCACAATTTAGCTATTCTAAAAGAATTATTATGAAGCAATAAAAACTTAATAAACCTTTAGGAGAGGAATTATAGGAATTAGCAGGGTGACTGCTGAACAAGTAAGCTAGTAATCTAGGAAACCAGGTACCTTACGAGACATATTTATATTCGACGAAATTCCGGTGACCTTAGTGATTTGGGAACGAAAATATGGGATTTTCGTTTTGATTCAAGTTTTAACAGTATCTAAACAGTGTGATAATAGTGCCCATGGGGGTGGGGGGGGGGGGGGGGGGGGGGGGGGGGGGGCGTGGCCATTTCCCTTCGAAATCTGGCGGTTGATCGTTGATACATGTCTTACATGCAAATTATGCTGTGTCAAAAGATTCAACCGCCTGAGCGCCATTTATGAAGAGTATATCATGTGATTTAGGGGAATATTCTATAACGCCTGAATTGTCCGTAAAGAGTAGCCATGCGTGCCTTCAAACTTCTTGTAAAGAAATTGAAGCGGAAGTTCAATGATCAAGCAAATTGTCTAGCTGCAGATGTTCATTATCCATGAGTCATGACAAATTGATGCGAACTTGAGTACTATGTCAGATATCATCATATTAGTTCCAGGGTGTAATAGCTGACGCAGTCTGTTGAACCCATGATCTTTAAATATTGTCAGCACGTTTCTAGTACCACGTGTTACCCATTTCTCTTATATTTATGGGGGAGACTTTGATCATCTAGATTTAACTTGGCGCTAACAAGTTAATGCTCTTTATGGTACGGCACCAGTTTGTCGGGCACGTGTTACCCATTTCTCTTATATTTATGGGGGAGACTTTCATCATCTAGATTTAACATGGCGCTAACAAGTTAATACTCTTTAATATTAAGCCTTGCAATATAATAATATTGCCATGCTTCTAACATTTAAATGTCATAATATTCAAAACAGTCCCCACAATCATAATGCTTGTCGCATCTTATTAAGATGTCTAGATTTAGGATTCTTAATTTGTGTTAGGAGATGAACTTCCAGATATTAAATAAGTCATTGACCTCCACGAGACAGAGATAATACCACCAACAAGGATTTTAAACGATAACGACTCCTGTCCGACAGCACTATTTTCTTGTGTTTGAAGTGATATCTCAAATTTGGCACATAGAAATTCACCCAAAGTTACACAGATCGTCAGTCCTATAAGTATAACCATCATACTTTATAATGGAAAGTTTCAAGAAAATCGTATGGTAGGATCTGACGTAAACTATTGTCCGAACAACCTATTTTCGAAGCCAGACAGGAGTCGCCCAATCATTTTAAACAGTGTATAACGGCGTTAAATAAAGCTATCAATATTGCCACTTTGCCAGGCACACTATAAGTTACGGGAGTATTGGTTAGATAATTTCTTCGAAAGAGTGATTGTAACACCTCAACATGGCGAGACAGATTGAAAGCGGAACAAGAAATGCGGCCGCTTTTTTTTGTGCATGGCCGCTCAATTTCCCGATCCGTGATGGCGTATTTTATCATTTTCTATACAACCTGGGGACCCCAGTTTTTACTGTTTATAAGTATGCAGATATGGCGAAGTGACAGGCCGAGCGCCACCAAGTTAATATAATTCCATATTGAATTTGAAAATCGTGTATATTTTTAAAAACCATATGCTTATTGTTTATGCAACCTGACACCCTACACGGATGTGTGCAAAATAGTTAAGTAACTCAAAATAATAATAGTATGCTATCAATTAGTGCCTAGTGGGATATGTACATGGTGAAATTAACAATGTACTTGGTCAGTTCAGCGCCGCGCGCCAACAATTAGCTAATTCGGATTATTCCGCAAAATAACTTTGCGCAGGTAGTCACGTGGGCGATTACAGTGTGTGCAGGCAGGTACGGTCGCACGCTCGCACGCTCGCAGGTACGGTCGCAAAGCTACCATATACAAAAAAAACCTCGTTCGCTAACCCTTGTCCTTGACTCTTTTGTGCCTTCGGCACTTTGAGTCATGGATCGGGAAAAAATATGGTGAAATTATTTCAAAAAGCATTAACGACCTACTAGTACTGAACAGTGATTTAAACAGTAAATCATTATTACAACACTCCAAATCTATTACATTTATTGAGTATTATGTATCCGTGTATCGTAATGGAAATATTTTAGGCGGGTAAAAGCCAGATCAAACCCTGGCTCCATAATATGGAGGCTTCGTTTTTATTTTGTATTGAAAAGCACTAATATATGTACATTATATAGTTACGGTTGTAATTGTACTTATAGTAAATACAGGATATTCCTAAAGACTTATCCTTTTTTCATTCAAAAAAATCATAAGATATGGCTTAATTCTGCAAAATTGTATGCAATTTTATGATTTAAAGATTGCAATGGTCACCTCATTGCTCCTGCTAGGTCCCTAGGTCCAGTTTCCTTACCAGGGAATCAGTTTAAATTCTTTAATTTAAGCAATTCATCGATCGAAATGTTCGATTTATGACTATATTTTGAATTTTGTTAGTTTTCGGGTTATGATGGGAGGTTCAGCGGTTAAGTGTCAAAAATGCTTAAAGACCTCTGATTTTAAAATGATGTATAACTATAAGCACTTTTATTAAAAGGTGCAGCGCGAGCGTTATGGTTACGAATAGAGCAAGAATTAGGGTTAACTGGTTAATATTAGATGAAAGATTGTGGGTTTCGACTGATCAAGATAAACGTTTGGATCACATGATTACTCGGTTAAATCTTTGCAACAAAACCGGAAATTCGAGTAACTGGGAGTAACTGTTTTGAACTTTGACAATATATCTTTAGACACTGAGACAGTAATTTAACACAGGTTGCTTGCATTCCTCATGCTGATCACTGATTCCAAAAAAGCAACAATTTAACAATTCAAAGTGAAAACTCACCTCAAACCATAGAGTTCAGGGAAGGACTGGGGAACAGTTGGGCCAGCAGGTCTGGTAGGTCGGAATCCTCCAGGTCCGGGAGCAGGGGGGCCTGGTCTGGGGGGCTGCGCGTACATCTGGTGATATTATTTGTCAACTTCACTTCTTTTTGCTTTTTATCCCCAAGAAAACAAACGGCCAGTAGGGTGATGATCAACCTTTTCATAGTTTAGCATCCTGGCTAACAGCCCAGTTCCACGGCTCAGTTTTGCGACCAGATTTGACACAAAACTCCGCGAAAAGAGTTTTGAAAGGCAAAACTCCGCGAAGGCAGTTTTGTTTACAATGTACGTTCCCACGGTTGGTATTTGCACGCGCACGTGGGCGCATTATATAATGAAATTTCCCACGCGAGCGCCCAGGTTTTACAGCCCAGTTTTAAGGAACATTCAAACAACTTAGTTCCTAGACGACAAAAAGGAAAATATAAAACTCAATATTTCACTCTCAAGTTATTTCACATGGATTGGTTTATTAACTATCTGGTAACAAGCATGTCTCTTAGCATCATACTACATAAATGTTCGTAACATTTCTTAATCATTCATTAAAAATGGACGCATTTTGGTTTTAACATCTGTGATCGCCCCCGCAGTCGGTTATCAAAGATCGCAATTTGTTAATTCCCTCGAATACCTCGCTCTAGCACCACATTTTTAACACTACTCCATACTCTCCCAATAACTAGGGAAGAGGTTAAAGAAAACTCGCCAAGCTGCATCTCTCATTAAACCACCACTTAGGCTACAAATAGAACTTGAATCACACAGCAGCATTGCAGCAGGTTGCTTTAATTTAGAAGAATTTTATGATTTTTCTGACCACTTAAGAGTTGATTATCAAATGTTGGAGTAGTTCGCTGTTTATTAGTCTCATGATTGATAAACTTTCAACACTACTATATAACAAATAATTTGAGCCTGAAGATGGCGTTGACGCCTAAAATTTGCCTACATTCCTAACTTCCTGTTTCATTTGTCCTTGTCTCTTTCAACCGGATATTATCCAACTATCAGTACTTAAGAGTTGGATTAAAAGAAAGAGGGAATGAAGATATGAGAGGTATAAGAGGTATTATAATGAATTATTCATATATGAGTGGTGCAAGGTGCTTGACGTGAATAACGTGGGACCCATCTAATTTCAAAGCTGTATTAACGAGTGGTAATGGGTGTGGTCTCTGTTGCAAGCTCATGGGCTATAATATAATCGCTGCCATTTACCAAGTAAACTCTTCATTTACATAAGAGAGGATTAGTATCGCAGCAGAAATATCATTTATTTTAGAATAAGTTCGGGCGCAACAGCTGCCCTTTTTCAGTATAATTAGGGTTCACGCCTCACAAACCGTTGTAAACATGGTGGGGCGTGGTTCACTCACCGGGGGCACGCCTCACAAACCGTTGTAAACATGGTGGGGCGTGGTTCACTCACCGGGGGCACGCCTCACAAACCGTTGTAAACATGGTGGGGCGTGGTTCACTCACCGGGGGCACGCCTCACAAACCGTTATAAACATGGTGGGGCGTGGTTCACTCACCGGGGGCACGCCTCACAAACCGTTGTAAACATGGTGGGGCGTGGTTCACGCCTCACAAACCGTTATAAACATGGTGGGGCGTGGTTCACTTACTCACCGGGGGCACGCCTCACAAACCGTTGTAAACATGGTGGGGCGTGGTTCACTCACCGGGGGCACGCCTCACAAACCGTTGTAAACATGGTGGGGCGTGGTTCACTCACCGGGGGCCTCACAAACCGTTGTAAACATGGTGGGGCGTGGTTCACTCACCGGGGGCACGCCTCACAAACCGTTGTAAACATGGTGGGGCGTGGTTCACTCACCGGGGGCACGCCTCACAAACCGTTGTAAACATGGTGGGGCGTGGTTCACTCACCGGGGGCACGCCTCACAAACCGTTGTAAACATGGTGGGGCGTGGTTCACTCACCGGGGCCTCACAAACCGTTGTAAACATGGTGGGGCGTGGTTCACTCACCGGGGGCACGCCTCACAAACCGTTGTAAACATGGTGGGGCGTGGTTCACTCACCGGGGGCCTCACAAACCGTTGTAAACATGGTGGGGCGTGGTTCACTCACCGGGGGCCTCACAAACCGTTGTAAACATGGTGGGGCGTGGTTCACTCACCGGGGGCCTCACAAACCGTTGTAAACATGGTGGGGCGTGGTTCACTCACCGGGGGCCTCACAAACCGTTGTAAACATGGTGGGGCGTGGTTCACTCACCGGGGGCCTCACAAACCGTTGTAAACATGGTGGGGCGTGGTTCACTCACCGGGGGCCTCACAAACCGTTGTAAACATGGTGGGGCGTGGTTCACTCACCGGGGGCCTCACAAACCGTTGTAAACATGGTGGGGCGTGGTTCACTCACCGGGGGCCTCACAAACCGTTGTTAACATGGTGGGGCGTGGTTCACTCACCGGGGGCCTCACAAACCGTTGTAAACATGGTGGGGCGTGGTTCACTCACCGGGGGCCTCACAAACCGTTGTAAACATGGTGGGGCGTGGTTCACTCACCGGGGGCCTCACAAACCGTTGTAAACATGGTGGGGCGTGGTTCACTCACCGGGGGCCTCACAAACCGTTGTAAACATGGTGGGGCGTGGTTCACTCACCGGGGGCCTCACAAACCGTTGTAAACATGGTGGGGCGTGGTTCACTCACCGGGGGCCTCACAAACCGTTGTAAACATGGTGGGGCGTGGTTCACTCACCGGGGGCCTCACAAACCGTTGTAAACATGGTGGGGCGTGGTTCACTCACCGGGGGCCTCACAAACCGTTGTAAACATGGTGGGGCGTGGTTCACTCACCGGGGGCCTCACAAACTGTTGTAAACATGGTGGGGCGTGGTTCACTCACCGGGACATGGTGGGGCGTGGTTCACTCACCGGGGGCACGCCTCACAAACCGTTGTAAACATGGTGGGGCGTGGTTCACTCACCGGGGGCCTCACAAACCGTTGTAAACATGGTGGGGCGTGGTTCACTCACCGGGGGCCTCACAAACCGTTGTAAACATGGTGGGGCGTGGTTCACTCACCGGGGGCCTCACAAACCGTTGTAAACATGGTGGGGCGTGGTTCACTCACCGGGGGCCTCACAAACCGTTGTAAACATGGTGGGGCGTGGTTCACTCACCGGGGGCCTCACAAACCGTTGTAAACATGGTGGGGCGTGGTTCACTCACCGGGGGCCTCACAAACTGTTGTAAACATGGTGGGGCGTGGTTCACTCACCGGGGGCCTGTTGGCTGAACTGACTGTAGGAACGTGGCCTGCTGTCACCATGGGACCGTGGCCGGAGGTTGCCATGGGGGGCGGTTGAGAGATGGGTGGTGTGTAGCCGGCTGTAGTGCCCGGAACTGGCGTGTATCCCTGGCAGAATTGAGGGATTGTTATTAGAAGGCACGAATATTACCGGGTAGTTGCTGTTTTGTTAACCACTAGAAATGGAGATAGCTTTGATCTGGAATATTCTCTCTTTAGAAGTTTAGATTGACAAAATGATTTGATTTTTTAACGTCACAAAGAGGACTGTTTAACGTCACACGAAGATTTATTGCTTTCAGCTCATGAACAACATTGTTGCATTAAAACCTGACGCAAATGATTGGATCGATTAAATTACCCAGACAAATAATGCATATCACGAGAACAGTTTCGTGGTATATCCATCCCAGTTTCGTGGTATTTCCATCTCATGACCATGGTAATGGAAACAAGTATTCGATACCACGAATACTACAAATTACCTAGACAGAGGGCGACACCCTCCATCTCCCAATCATGGGATAATGCACCTTCCATAGCTAAACACTTTAAGACTATATATCCAATAAAAACACGTACATACGCTATCATATAAAGATTAAATACCTGAGGCTGTGCTGCAGGAGGTCGGTATCCTGGCATGCCGTATCCAGGTTGTTGCTGGTAACCTTGGTAACCGGTCTGCTGCCCAGGTGGGTATTGTTGTCTAGGAGGTCCGTACCCCTGAGGAGGGCCGGCTGGTGGGGGCTGCTGACCGGGCGGATAGCCTGCTGGGCGAGCCTGGGCTTGTCCGGGAGGGTACCCAGGTCGGGGGTACCCGTACCCCCCGGGGCCGGGAGCGTTGTAACCCCCGTATCCTCCGTAACCGTATGGCCCCGACATTGCGCTAGGCTAGAGGGCGAGGGTTTAGAAATATATCTTGGAGTTAGAAATGTTGTAGATTTTAAGGTGTATTTGTGGTAACTGATTATAGAGACGGGGTTAATACTTTCAGCCTATAAGATGGCATTATATTGGCACTGGCAGTAGTTTAGAAGTTAGGTTAAGTAAGACACGAGATGATTTAAGAGACCTGCTCATCAAAAACAATATTATCAATGTACACGTGCGTTACAACACACTCAAATTAGATACATAAAACACGGTAAATTATTATCACTATTATCATTAATATTATGATTTCTCATTCGTCATGGACTAAAATTATCATTCAGGTCTTAAATAAACTTTGATTTATTTGTCAAGACATGGTAAACAGAAACAGGATAGTCTTTCAGGTTGATGCACATAGAGATAGAAACGTAATTCAAAACCTAAAAAAGAAGCAAATTTCTAAAAAGAGTATTGTAATTTAAGAGCAAGGTAGATTCCTTTAGAAAATAATCCTCGTTATTGCCAAGAAAACAAGTATTAATTTTATCTCCGCCAATTTTATCGATTCATATCCATAATTTATAATTCACCATGATAATCAATTAATAAAAACACGCTAGACAAATTTAAACATCTGATTTGTAACGCCATAAGTTATATCTGCCAATCATCAACAAAAGCCCGAGTAACAAACCCAAAAACAGTCACATCCGTAATATATGAGAGCATTTACAAATTCTACTAAAGTTCCATTTTCATCTACCAACCACATCAAAATGGTCTCATTTTTTTCTTCTAATAATTATTAATATTTATGAACGCTCTCTTAAATATCGTTACCAGTTTTGTTTGAGGATTTCTGGCAACAACAGGGCGTTACAGAAATAAAATCCAATATTTCTGGGAATATTAACTAACCACACAAATAAGTTATGTTACTCAAAAAAAACAATCCCGGCCACATAGAACACAAATAAACTGAGAATCCTCTGAATGCTGCTGAGAAAATCTAAAAAAGCTTTTAAGCATAGAATTTATTTAAACCATTACAAATAAACTTTGTGTCATGTGGGTTTCTTGTGAAAATCCCCCACTTTTTACCACGTTCACCACTTTGTCAGATAAAGAAGCTTTGGCTTTTAAGTCGTCCAATACAATCGTCGTAGGATTCCACGGTTGGTCTTCACTGTTGACTCAGATTCTGACTCTCACTTAACTTCAAGTTTTTGATAGCGTGTTGTGCTTGTACTATGTTAAAATGCTGCAGCATATCCTTCAGCGTTTTATCGTCCACCAAATCACTGACAATTTTATGCGATATATTATTACCCATGGGCCATGATATTAAAATGAAATTGCGATGTGTGGTATTTAATGAACTGATTTCCTCAGTACAAAGGAGAGGAAATATTTATGGTAAGACAGTTTATTGCATGCATCCCGTCAAATATGGCCTTATCTGGATACAGGTATCTTATCGTGACTGATACCATAATTATTTGATAAAATTTGAATCATTTAAGATTAGATTTGATTAGATGAACTGATAAATATTCATGGAAGTCCACTTTTGTCATACTCAGATTTTCTACGAGAATAATTATAAAATGGTCTTGTCGTCGAACGATCAAATGTTTCGGTTCTGGATCCACCAAAAATTCAACAGATCTTAAACCTTTTAATACATAAATATATTTTGAGATCGAGCGGTATTCCGAGTATTCTAGCCGTTAAAAGGTTACTAATTCATATTTGCTCCGTTCACGAAGGTTCGAACGAGATTTTACATTATGCTGTCTGAAATTCAGGGAAATTAATGGTTAAATGGTTCATTATTAAAATTTAACAAAATTGAATATTCAATGCAATATGTAATAATGCGATTCTAATGGTCATACATCCGGATCCCGACGGCACTGTCGTGGCACTGTCGCGGCACTATGGCGGCACTCTGGCGGCACAGTGCCAACTTTCAATCAAATTCTTTCAAAAGCATAAGACAATCATTATACCTTCATTATCTTTTCACGATAACCACGGTGTCATAAAAGCACTACCCTTTATTTGTCAAAGACTTGTGATTTGCAATCCTTATGATTTTGAAAGAACATGATTGAAAGTTGGCACTATGCCGCCAGAGTGCCGCAAGAGTGCCGCCAGAGTGCCGCCGGAGTGCCACGACAGTGATGTCGGGATCCGGATGTACGACCATTCTAATAATAAACCATACCAGAAACCTGCTGGTCAAGGGGGAGATATAATTATATGTCAGTGATATCATAAGGACTATCCATCACACAGCAGCAATTTGAACTGCATGCAGTTTTAGTTTTTATGCATTCTAACTATTATATATTCCATAATTTATACTTTCACCGCATCAAAAATACGGACAATATGTTTGGGGTCAGCCTGTATATTATTGGGATACAATGTATAGTTTATTTATATATTGCCTCAAACTGTATTTTATGGAGAAATTTATATTAGCTACTATGCATATAGAATTTTTATGTTCAAGTATTTCATAAATTAATAAAGAAGTTTTATGTTTTAACATTTAAGTTATTTGATATGTTCTACTTGGTTGTAGACTTATCAGATCTTTAGAATGTTTATTGTTAAATACTTGTGTTAAATTCGATAACAATAATAATACCGCCTAATTAGATTAGAGTTTAGACATGACTGTCACAGAACCAATCAACCGATCAGTCTACCAACCAGCTAATTGATTACTTGTCTGATGATGGAACACACCTGCTTGCTTGACTCGTTCTCTCAGCAGCCCTGACCACACCCACACATTCCAATCGATTACGAAGCAGGGTGAAGGCCTCGGATTGGGGCAGTAGCATAAGAATACCTGAACAAAAGATATAATTTTATATCTTTAAATGTCTGTGTAGAAAAATTATGATTTAGAATAATGGATAAAACATTCTTATTTGATTTTAAAATATATTCTACCCCGAAATATCTCTCACCTGCCAGACTACGGAAGAGTTCAGGGTTGGTGTCCGGTTGAACGAGTTCCAGTCGAAGGGCAGAAAATACCGGACTTTCCAACAGTTGAACGAGTTTGTCAAGTCCGGACAAGGTCATCTCTGTCATCTGAGAAAAGACAGTGCACATTTTAGAACCCTTCCATACTAAATTATGGGGATATAAAACTGGAGTCCGGAAAATTAGGAGTTTTTGGAGAAAAACAATATCGGTGGAGGATTCCTCGTCTCCAAACTAACCTCATATTCTCCCAGCGCATGTATGACGTCACTTGCATGCTGATAAGAACTAACCTCGTATTCTCCCAGCGCGTGTATGACGTCACTATGACGTCACTTGCATGCTGATAAGAACTAACCTCATATTCTCCCAGCGCATGTATGACGTCACTTGCATGCTGATAAGAACTAACCTCGTATTCTCCCAGCGCATGTATGACGTCACTTGCATGCTGATAAGAACTAACCTCATATTCTCCCAGCGCATGTATGACGTCACTTGCATGCTGATAAGAACTAACCTCATATTCTCCCAGCGCGTGTATGACGTCACTTGCATGCTGATAAGAACTAACCTCGTATTCTCCCAGCGCGTGTATGACGTCACTATGACGTCACTTGCATGCTGATAAGAACTAACCTCATATTCTCCCAGCGCGTGTATGACGTCACTTGCATGCTGATAAGAACTAACCTCATATTCTCCCAGCGCGTGTATGACGTCACTATGACGTCACTTGCATGCTGATAATAACTAACCTCATATTCCCCCAGCGCGTGTATGACGTCACTATGACGTCACTTGCATGCTGATAAGAACTAACCTCATATTCTCCCAGCGCGTGTATGACGTCACTTGCATGCTGATAAGAATGAGCTATCATACACAGAGCGATTGTTGAGACTGGGTCGTGGCACCAAGTTGTGTAAAGGGTGCTGAAAACTGCTCTTCCGTCTGTAGACCCCTTCTTACTGAGAGAGTAATGGAGTTAATGCAAATGTGGATAAATACTTCCTTTAATTGAAAAGAGCATTTTCTCTTGCAGTCGTTTATACGGAATTATCAGACATTTTCTCAGGAACATAAATACTTCCGTTAACGATTTGGATATATGTGGCGACTGGCGAGGTTAACTGATTGGGCGACATCTGTCCGACAGCGAAATCTGTCCGACTCAGAAAATAGGTTATTCGGACAATAGTTTATGTCGGATCCTACCGTACGATTTTCTTGACACTTTCTATAAAATATGGTGGTTATAGGACGGATAATCTGTGTAAGTTTAAGCGAGTTTCTATGTGCCAAATTTGAGATATCACCTTAAACACAAAAAATATCTCCAATTCGGTGGTTTGCAGTGGTTCCAAGGCATATATCTGGAGATCCAACTATTATATATTTGTTTTATATAAAGATATAACGTATATATACGTGACAGCGATTCTGATTTCTGAATTTGGTTGGTCAATGCTGGAAACTGATTGGTTAGTCGCTGTCACGTGTCAGGACAAATACGGTTCACTTCTCCGCCAGTATTCAGAACTACGGAGTAATATGCGAGACACTACTACGGAGTGCACGTCATGTGCGAGACACCAGTGTTTCATAATCTTGTTATGTGGTAATGGTATGTTATGTGGTAATGGTATGTTATCAAAAAACAAGTGCAGAATTCTAAGTTATGTGTCATAGTTTTGTGCAGAACTTGTTATTAATTTTATGATTAACCTGATTTCCCAGACTTACAAATTAGTACAGCACAGTTTTTGACTACTATAAATACGTCTAGACACCACCCCGCAACGAAAGTCCGACAAATATAAAACATCACTTTATCCACTTGAGGACACGTCAATAAAAAATCTTTTTCACTGGGCTAACTATTTGAGCTGCACTACATTTCGAACAACACTAACAGCCCTCGCACGTTTAACGCCACACTAAAAAACCATCTTACTCCATATCTTCGCTAGATCCCTCGATTGGGCGAGCTACAATCTCCAGGGGAGATCTGCTCTCCAGCTCTCCAGCTCCATTATCTTTCTGCAGTATCCCACCACTTTTAGAGTTAGAGTTGGAGTTCAAGCTAGAGTTGGAGTTAGAGTAGGAGTTAGAGTTCGAGTTAGATTTTCCTTTTCCCGGAGGAGATTTGCTGAACATATTTCCAGGTTTTGGAGCCGGAGTTTGTCCATCTTTGAGACGAGCAGACTGGTCATTCGTTGAAATGGGATCTCTACAACGAAACTCGTTAAATTTCAGATGCAGAATTCATTGCAGATATATCTACATTCTACATATCAAGTATTTATTCCACACTCCACATTCATGTAATATTAGGATTGGGAATCAAAATGAATACACAGCTGATAGAGGAGCGTATGATTCAATACAGCTATGTGAATTGTGATTTTCCCGCCTCCGATTCTCACTTACGTGCCAATCTCCTACTCATATGGCTCGCCTTCCCTTCTACCTCCCCAAGCAAGACTAACCTCCCCAAGCATGACTAACCTCCCCAAGCATGACTAACCTCCCATACAAGTTCCTAACAATACCCAACCTGGTACGTGACTTAGTGATGTTCTCTGTAGACTGTACCTACCCGAGTTTGGGGTTGTTGCGCTGTAGACTGTACCTACCCGAGTTTGGGGTTGTTGCGCTGTAGACTGTACCTACCCGAGTTTGGGGTTGTTGCGCTGAGATTTAAGGGTATCCCTGAGTGGAGCGAGGTTGGGGGAGGTGAGTAGGATCCAGTTCAGGTACTGGACTAAGAGAGCTGTGAACACGATGTCAGTCTCCTCCACCAGGAGTCGAGCTAGCGTACAGAACACCTGGATTACAAGTCAGATTAGTACGGGAATAGGAGTATTAGTATGGGAATAGGAGGATCAATTTGGAGAATAGGAGGATTAATTTAGACAGTTTCTGGGAGTTCCAAATAGTTTCTGATTATTCTGATTTCTTGCGACAAATGATACTGCACTGTTAGGATAAACGACGTTTCAAAGTAACAACTTCGTATTCATGCTGACAAAATTGGTAAATATGTGAGAAAACTGTCTCATAAAATTAATTTAGAGTACAAGAGAATCTTTATTACTGTTGTTGTTAAATGCTGTGCTTCATTTTCGTTCTTACAATACGGCCTAATTGACACAAAATATTGTCTCCATTTACCTTTTCACTATCCACATGGGTACAGAGAGTCTGAATTATAAAGGAGCACCGTCTGTCTAACAGTTTCTCATCGTCCTTGAACTTTGCTATCAGGCTTCGTAGAAAGTTCTCAAAGTTGGTCTTGTCTTGATCACTATTTTGCATACACCTGTATTGTTGAGGGTTGGTTTAATGATGATGAGCTCACAATATCAAGCTTATGTTACGTTGTTAATATCCCGAGCTAATTAACAAAGACAGTTATAATTCTAAGGGAAAAACGAAACAATAGTCCACATTACAACACTTGAACTGAATCCCATTGTTTGTCATGTAAATCAATCGTCTTTCCAGTTAACAACAGAGTACTATTGGTACATCACTAGCAGGCTCACAACTAACTATTGTTACAACTAACATGGGCCTGCATTATAGGGGAATGGCTAGTATTTAGTATTTACACAATAGATTAGATGCGTAAAGTGGCCCACGAAGAGGAAATGGCCAGAAACAGAACTCACATAATTTGAATGATCCCTTAGTTAGTACCTATTAATACTACTAACATTGCAGCGAGGAGCTGTATGGACAGCACCACAACACCATCACAAGGATCTGAAACAGTCCGGATAACAGCCGGAAATATGTCCTGGTGTTGAGAGTTGATCTTGTTGGGGACGTGGGAGTGGAGGGTCCGGACCCATTGTAACACTGCTATCTTGGTGGTGACAGAGATCTGGGAGGGCGAGGTGTACTCTCTACCTGAGGAGAGAGGAGATAAGTCAGAGCTTATCTAATAGGTGTACAATGTAAATAATAGCTTATCTAATTCATAGTATAATGTACATATTAGATTATATAAGTACATGCTAGCTTATCTAATACATGGTACATACTCAGATAATATGATAGATATAGACATGCTACCATAAATCATGTTATCATTCGTCCGGAAGTAAGGTGACATTTAAGAAGTATTATAGATGCGTGATAGATGTGTGAAACCCTGCCACAGAAAGGACGAATCTTACAATTGATTTTTGGCGCCTCTATTCACAATATCGTCTTATTTTAAAAGTATGGTAGCTTTATTTGCGCCCATCAGTTGATGAGAGGGGCTAGTTGTTGGGAAAATATGTAACCAATGTTCAGCAGGATGGCGCCCATCTTAAAGTGGATGGTTGAGGGGGTTTCAAGCACAGGTCACTCTCAAATCCTAAAGATAAGCAGTGGCCTTCGGCACTTGAAACCTCTTCAAACCTCCCCTGATTTATTTATTATTGATATTGTTTGATTGTGCCGTAAAAATAAATATTTGTTTTATTAAATATTTGTTTTATTATTAAATTTCATATGGTATATCTTCTGAATAATATTTGAATATTTAAATGCAATATTTAAATATCAAATAAATCAAATCATATTATTCGTGAC